TGGTACACAGCGCGGCTAAGCTCTCATTTCATCAGGTATAGACGGTTCGTCTAATTACCCAAAGCTTCCTATTATTACGTAAGTAATGAAGAAATATGATACATTTACTCACTATTACGTTGGTGCTGAAGGTTGAACGTGAAAAAACATATTTTTACTCTGAAATAATATAAGTTTATAACGAAATTAGACGAAACTAAGTGGCATGAGAGGCCATAGGAAGTTGACGATCCAAGCAACAATGTTGTAGAGCGACTTATCCAAGATATATTGTTGCCTACAGGTTATTAGTTAGGTTTGGATAGGTTTAGTTAGGTTAGGTTTGGGTAGGTTGGTTAGGTTAGGTAGGTACAGAAGGCTGATATGCCAGCAAACAACTCTCCAAGCAACAATGTGTCTTGGATAAGTCGCTCCACAACATTGTCGCTTTCGACTTTTGGCATCACCGGCAGCTTATTTTCGTCTAATTTCGTTATGAAATGATACTTTTTCAGAGTAAAAATATGGTTTTCCATGTTCTACATTCAGCACCAACATTATAATGAATAAATATATCATATTTATTCATTGCTAACCTAATGTTAGGAAGATTTGGGTAGCTTGTTAGGAAGCTTTGAGTAGCTTCTATGCTACCTGTATCAGATGCATCATCACTGAACCCAGAAAATGATTCATCTATAAAAATTGGAGATGACAAGGGTGGCATTCAGAGCTACAACTGGATATGCTCGCTATACAGTATTGTCCTCATCAGTGCTGTATCACTGGCATCTGTCCTTTGTGTTAGGTCCTTATTTCACCTAGCTTGATCAATGTTCTTCATATTGACCCTTATGTTCTTCAAACAATAAGGTCTGAACTTCCCTGACAGATAGCGATCTTTCAACACCGCATCGGGCAGGTGTTTGGGAGCCAGGGGCGCATGCGCCACCCTTGGTTGCTTCCCAGAATGCCCTAGCAGCCCTAGGGCATTTTGGGAATTTTTTCTAAGATGGCTACCTCTCACTTGAGGTCCCAAAAGTTCATTTCATACACAACCTATCGCGCACACATATTGAATGGGTACGAAATAATCAAAAGGTGTTTTCTCAGTTGGCGTGGTTTCCTGCCGACCGAGTTTTCTCGGTTAGCACAGCTCAGTGGTTAAATGACATATTTCCTGCATTTCCTGACACACTAGCAGCAGGATGCAAAAAAATATTCTCAGATATAAAACGGTGAAAGAGGGGGTTGGGTTTGATCAGCCGCAAGTAAAGAAAAACAAAAAAATGGTTGCACCACCGGCATCTTTGTGGTCGGCCGTCGAACTGCATAGGCTTCTCCTGAGTGGGGGTGCCACTTGGGGCTGAATCACAAATGGATAGATGAAATAAATGAATGATTCAGGTCTGATAGCGAGGTCGGGGAGTGTGTAATTATCTAAGTGTAGTTTCCGGATGAGTGCTACGCTTGTGGTGTCCTGTCTTCCCAGCACTCTTTGTCATATAATACTTTGAAACTACAGTACTGATGGTTTTGGCCTCCACCACCACCTCACCTAACTTGTTCCAGCCGTCTACCAATCTGTTTGCGAAAGTGAATTTTCTTATCATTTCTTTAGCAGCTTTGTTTAGTTAGTTTAAATCTATGACCTCTTGTTCTTGAAGTTCCAGCTCTCTGGAATTCTTCCCTGTCAATTTTATCAGTTCCTGTTACTATTTTGTGTGTAGTGATCATATCGCCTCTTTCTTTTGTCTTCTAGTTTTGACAATTTTAATGCGTCTAGCCTCTCCTCGTAGCATGCTTGTATTCACCTAGTTGTGTTTGCGGGGTTGAGCTTTGCTCTTTCGGCCCGCCTCTCAACTGTCAATCAACTGTTTACTAACTACTTTTTTTTTCCTCCACACCACACACACACACACCCCAGGAAGCAGCCCATGACAGCTGACTAACTCCCAGGTACCTATTTACTGCTAGGTAACAGGGGCATTCAGGATGAAAGGAACTTTGCCCATTTGTTTCTGCCTGGTGCGGGAATCGAACCTGCGCCACAGAATTACGAGTCCTGCGCGCTATCCACCAGGCTACCAGGCCCCTTGTGTATATGTGTGTGTGTGTGTGTGTAATAATAATAATAATAATATGTGAGTGTACGTGAGTACCCTTTAATATATATATTGTGGGGCACCACAACATATACATATTCGTACAGGTACTGTATATTTATTTCATCAACCTTAATTGTGTGGAAGACAAAGCCCCAACATGTTAGATACCAGGTGGTGGCTCTATAAACTGGACCATCAGTGCCACAATAGGAAGGAGGCAAGTACAGTACTGTAGTTTAATTCTTAATTTTTTCTTGGGCTTGGTTTCTCATCTTTTTTTGGAAGATTATAATTACAGTATTACAGTTTCAGTTTTCCCACATTTCTGCTGTGTAAGACTGGTGGGCCTGGGCACTTTTGTTGTTAATCACAAGATTAAGTTAATCATGTTAATCAAGAATCCCACATCTGATCTGTAGTGGTTGTTCAGGGTCGTGGGCTTCATTCCGTCATATATCTTCAATATTTATTCATAGATCCATCACATTTTTCTGATATCATTGTGTAAACCTTTTCTTGTTTTATTTACCGTATTTTGGGGGTGGCAGACCCCCAAAACTTTCCTCACATTTTGGCTTGGTGGCAGACTGTTACACGTTGTTCTGGTGGAAGCCTCCCTGTTGCTAGTGTGCTTCAGTCTGGCTGATGTCTATCAACATGTTGAGGAAACATTGTTGCTCTCACCTTTTTGAAGACCTCTTTCCTCCCTGAGTTGGTGGTTTCTCTGACCCAATAATTGTGTATCTTCCCATATCTAATTTGTCACCCCATACTTCGGCTGGACATGGTGTAAACCGGTGTTTCAGGGACATGCTATTGATCTTGGCACCCATTCTACTTAGGCTATGTATGGTATATTATGCTTTTACGTAGTACCATTTGAAATTTGATAATTTTGTTGTGCATTTTGTTTTAAACGTGTGGCAGCTAATATTTTCTGGTGTTTGTGCCCACTGCAGGTACTGCCTCTGAGGCTAGCTAGAACCCCTCGGGTTGGCAGCGGTGCCATATGATGGCAACGAAATGGCGCTAACTAGCAGTGGGACCTAGACAATGAATGTGTACATAGTTAACCATAGTTAACATCAGAGTTGTAAATCATTGCTTGTATTGGTGTGTTATACCTTTCTGGTAATCTTATCTTTTTAGCTCTTGTTTTTTAGTAAGTTTATATATATATATATAATATATTATATATATATATATATATATATATATATATATATATATATATTATATATATTATATATATTATATATATATATATATATATAT